ATCCCCTCCTTGTTGTTGAATTCGCATTTCTGAAGAATAATTATTGTTGATCCCCCCCCACCGGTGCATACTGTTTTTTTCTCAATCAAAGTCTGCCCCTCGACGCTCGCACCCTGTTTTTTGACAGGGAAAGTCTTGATGCTCAAACTGGGCCCGTGGCCACCGGGTTACAACAACAACGGCTCCCGCTTGAGACTTCCTTGCAATTTAGCCAGGACCCCCGCTCCCGCCCGAGACTTCGTTGCATTTTATTCGGGAATCGCGCTCTGGCGAAGGACTTCATTCCAATTTAGTCAGGAATCGCTCTCCCGGCGCTCTGGAGTCGCGCTCTCGCTTGAGAATTGCTTGCAATTTACTGAAGAATAGCGCCCTTGCGTCGGAATTTCCTGCAAATTGCCCAAGCGGCGCGCTCCCGACACCCAGGCACCCAGGCGTCGCGCCCGTTGTGGCCCCATGTGCATGCCCTTCGTGGCCCCTCTGTCGCCGTTCGTGGCCCCTTCACTGTCCTACGTGGCCCAGTTGCCTTCTGTGGCCCCGCATTATCTGCCCTTCGTGGCCCCCGCTCGTTCGAGCTCTTCGTGGCCCCATACGCATTCCCTTCGTGTCCCCGCTGTCGCCCTTCGTGGCCTACTTCATGTCCTTCGTGGCCCCGCTGTCGTTCTCTCTCGCTCTCGCGTCGTCGCCGTCGTCGTCGTCGTCGTCGTCGTCGTCGTCGTCGTGGTCGCTCCTCTGTTCGTCCCTCTTGGGGTCGGGGCGACGGTCCGCGGCCGCCACGCCGATCAGCGCTGCCGCTGGCCAGGCCGACGGTCCGCGGCCGCCCCGCCGCTTGCCGGGGCCCGGCCTGCAGGGAAGAAAGGTCTATCCCCCAAATGGGGTTCGATCGAAGACGAAGAGGGCGGGCATCGAGGGTTTGGAAAACACGCGTAATTGGACACTCGAGCAGATACAGTCTTAAATGATTGTTGTTATTAAATTCTCATTCTAAAGAAGAATTGTTGTTGATCCCCCGCATATTGTTTTTCTCAATCAAAGTGTGCCCCTCGACGCTCGCACTTTGTTTATTGACAGGGAACGTCTTGATGCTCAAACTGGGCCCGTGGCCACCGGGTTACAACAACAACGGCTCCCGCTTGAGACTTCCTTACAATTTAGCCAGGACCCCCGCTCCCGCCCGAGACTTCGTTGCATTCTATTCAGGAATCGCGCTCTGGCTTGGGACGTCATTCCAATTTATTCAGGAATCGCTCTCCCGGCGCTCTGGAGTCGCGCTCTCGCAGGAGACTTGCTTGCAATGTATTAAAGAATGGCCTTGCGTTGGAATTCCTGCAAATTGCCCAAGCGGCGCGCTCCCGACACCCAGGCACCCAGGCGTCGCGCCTTCTGTGGCCCCATGTGCATGCCCTTCGTGGCCCCGCTGTCGCCATTTGTGCCCCCCTCACTGTCCCACGTGGCCCAGTTGCTACCTTCGGTGGCCCCATAGTTGCCTTCTGTGGCCCCGCATTATCTGTATTTCGTGGCCCCCGCTCGTTCGCGCTCTTCGTGGCCCCATACGCATTCCCTTCGTGTCCCCGCTGTCGCCCGTCGTGGCCTACTTCGTGCCCTTCGTGGCCCTGCTGTCGTTCTCTCTCGCTCTCGCTTTCGCTCGTCATCGCCGTCGTCGTCGTCGCCGTCGTCTTCGACGTCGTCGTCGTCGTCGTGGTCGGTCCCCTGTCCGTCCCTCTTGGGGTCGGGTCGACGGTCCGCGGCTGCCCCGCCGATCAGCGCTGCCGCTGGTCAGGCCGACGGTCCGCGGCCGCCCCGCCGCTTGCCGGGGCCCGGCCTGCAGGGAAGAAAGGTATACCTCCCAAAAGGGGTTCGATCGAAGACGAAGAGGGCGGGTATTGAGGGTTTGGGAAATCCGCGTTATTGGACACTCGAGAATATAAGGGCGAAAAGTCTTGACATTATTGTTGATGTTGTTTTCTGCTGGGAAGGCCTGTGATCTGTGCCAGTCTAATGGTACAACTTGTGTCATCCTGCATTGCTCGGGGAATCTGCCCAAGATAGGTTGGTACGCACATGTGTGGCTCGCCATCTTCGGTAATCCTACCCCTGCATGCTCACGTCTTCCAACGTCTTGGATCACGCTGCTCACAGTAGTAGCTGTCGCTCTGAATGGTACTCCCTCCCCTCCACCTCTGCCCAGTGCCGCTCCCTCCTGCCATCCCATCTTCTCTATCAACTGCCGTCCCTTACGAACCCGTCCTAGTGTAGTGTAGTGCGCTACGTCCTCCTCGTCTTTTCTCTCTTCCGCTGCCTCTATCCTCCTCCTCCGTCTCCTCCTCCTCCTCTCCTTCCTCTCACTCAACTCTGTCGGATCTTCCAGATGCACGGTGGGGTCGAGGAGGAGCCAAGCCATCTCTGTTGGTAGTCCCCACTCTGCTCATGCCCGTCGCTCGCACGCTTTCTTGCAGTACCGTAGCATGGCTGCCTTGCCGCTGTCCACCATCCCTCTGAGGTCGTGGTCGCATGGGAGGGGGGATGTGCATTCCTCGACGTACTCTGCATGCTCCCTTCGCGCGCTCGCACGATCCAGAGGTACAGCGCCCAGTCCTCCCTCCAGCGCTGGACGGCTAAGTTCTTGCTCCCTGTACTCTTTGGGCCAACTTGTCTTGGGGATCAGATAGCACCTGTTCTTCGAGCCTCGTCCGTTCCTCTGGCACTGTATTCGTAGGCGATGCATATCCGCAACGTGTCGGCGCTCGTATGCCAACCATATTGGTTCAACTATCTTTGCTCCCCGTTTTTTCTGTAATTTCTCTGGCTGTGTTTAGAGATGCCGTCACTTCTCTTAGTTCAGTCTGCACAAGATCGTACTCCCGATCGTCACATTCGTCACAGTCTCTCTCGTATCGTACGCCTCCGTCGTAGTAGTTCAAGCCTGTATGTACGTGCTGTCTTGATTATTTGGTCGACCTCATCTTGTGGGTGTGTTCCGAAAGTTCGATGCATGGCTCGTCGTATTGCTCCCCCGAATAAGTCCCAGGTGCTGTCTGGTGTGCTTTGTGCTGCCTCCACTCCTGTAATCTCCGCGTCGATAGCGTCGAACAGCTCCGTCCTCTTTTGCCCCCTCCGCACGCACTCCATGAGACCGTCCCTGCACGGTCCCTGTTGTCGGGGCGCGGTCGGAGCTGGGGGGCGAGGGAGGTGGGGGGAGATTGTCAGGCCGAGTGGGACGTGGTCACAGTGCTTTCTGGTCTAACTTTTTTGTAGTCGCTTTCCTGCTCCGTGTAAGCGTGCAGTGCTCCACATTTCCCAGAAGCCCCATGGGTAAAGCAATGTGGTCTACTCTGCTTGTGTGCCCAGGGTGCCCATAGTATTCTGGACCAATGTTATAGTGTGGGGTCACTGTGCTCAAGTCGCTCCCTGCACACATCGTCCGAAAGCTCTGTCTGTTGTAGTTCTCGAGCTTGGGCACCTTTGGGCCTACTGTCGGGCCCTTACTACATACCACTCCCCCGTCGAGGTCTCTTTGGCACCCGAAGTCGCTGTTTACGTCACCTCCCACTATTCTCGTCGTACGGCATCCTAACCTGTCGACCCGCTCCTCTAGCCAGTGGCTGATGGAGCCCGCCAACTTGGGATAGTACAGCGAATGGGTGGGAGCGTAGTAGGCAACACATAGGGCGTAGTCGAAGTTTGCTGTAGCGCGTCTCACCCCAGCGACTCTCCCTTGCAAGGCTGTCGGTGGGTGGTACATGTCCCTCACAACGTAGGGTCCTAAACCTTTGTTGACACACATGGCGGCTCCACAACTTTTGTTGGTCCACTTCCTTTTCTTGGTTCCGAACGTGGTGGCACCGTGGGACAGGATGTTGCGTTGTGAAGCTTCTGTGCCCGCCCGTCTACACGTTCAGCTGAGCAATATTACGTCCCAACTCCGTAGTTCGCAACTGATGTCTTCTAGTCGTCCCAGGCTGGCCGCTTCCATTGGGTTGTAGTAGCAAATACGCATAGTGATGCAAAGAAGGGCGAGAGCCATGGAAGCCCTCCCCCCCCCAGGCCCCAGTGTTTCGCGGGCCTACGGGTGGGGGGCGAAGTCGCTGGTGTACGGTTGTACGTGAGGTTCGGTCGCTCAAAATCCTGACCTCGACTCAGCGGCCTAGGAGATGGAGGAAGAGACGGAGGAGGAGGAGGAGGAGCGAGGAGCGAAGAGGCGGGAGAAGGAGCGATGATAACGATGTTGATGGTGTTGATGATGATGATGCTGTTGCTGATGATGATGCTGATGCTGATGCTGAAGATGATGATGATGCTGATGATGATAATGATGACGACGACGATGACGATGATGACGATGCCGATGACAGTGGCGATGATGATGATGATGATGATGATGATGGTGATGGTGCTGGTGATGATTATGATGATGATTATGATGGTGATGATGATGATGATGGTGATAATGATGATGATGATGATGATGATGATGATGATGATGATGATGATGATGATGACGGTGATGATGCTGATGATGGTGGTAGTGGTGGTGATGGTGATGGTGGTGATTGTGTTGATGTTGGTACCTGTGTTGTTGGTGCTGTTGCTGGTCATGATGATGCAGATGATGATGATGCTGATGATGATGATGATGATGATGATGGTGATGATGTTGGCGACGACGATAACGATGATGATGCTGATGATGATGCTGGTAATGATTATGACCATGATGATGATGCTGATGATGATGATGATGATGCTGATGCTGATGATGCTGGTGATGATTAGGAGGAGGACGACGAGGAGGATGATGGTGGTAGTGATGGTGATGGTGGTGGTGATGGTAAGGGCGGTGGTGATAGTGGTCATGATGCTAGTGAGGAGGGGGAGGAGGGGGAGGAGGAAGAGGAGGAGGAGGAGGAGGAGGAGGAGCGATGAAGAGGAAGGACGATGAGGAGGAGCGAGGAGCGAGGAGCGAGCAGGAGCAGTGAGTGCGGAGCGAGGAGGAGACGCCACAGGCCGTCCTGGACACGCTCGGCAGCATCCTGGTGCGCCCCCCCTCTGTCCGGCGCGGGCTGCGCGCGCCCAGCCTGCGGGGGCCGCCGACGCTGCCTCCGTCGTCTTCGCCCTCGCCGTCGTCGTCGTCCTCGTCGTCGCCGGTGCCGTCGCTCGGGGGCGGCAAAGAGGGGGGTGATGACTGGGGGGGGGGGGATGTCAAGGCGGGGGCCACGATGTTTCCCCAGATTTCGTGGCGCCTCTTCTTATGTCATTACGTCCCTGGCCCCCCCGCTGGGCCGCGCACGTGCCGCCGGTCATGATTTGCACCCCCCACTCTTGGACACCCCCCTCTTGGCCGCTCCCGAGTCGCCGTCGTCCAGTGACGTCATCGGCGTCGTCGTGGTCGTCGTCCGTCGTCGAGGCGTCGTCGTCGGCGTCGGCGTCCGCGTCGGAGGCGGCTTTGGCGGCGTCGTTCGTCTGTCGCGTGTCGCACGTCGTCCGTCGTATTTCGTCGTCGCCGTCGTCTGTCGTGTTCGTCGCCGTCGTCAGTATGGTCCGCTGTCTGTCGCCGTCATATGCCGTCTTTCGTCGCCGCTGGCGGCGGTTTCGGTGACCAAGTAGCCTCCCCAAAACGATAGGGGTCCGAACTCCACCTGGGGACTCACCATTGGACCCACAAGGGGTGATGGTGCCCCGCGGGGGGCCGTGACCGCCCCGCTGCGAGCGCCGCCATCCCGAAGGGCCCCTTGTGGCCGCAGCCGTTCCCGGGGCCCTGCTTTCTTCCGCTCCGGAGCGCTCTGGAGGCATTCCTCGCTCAAGCGTGATTCTACTCCCGCTCCTTCTCCTCCGCCTGCTCGTCATCATGCTACCTGCTATCAGAATGAAAAGAAACACACAGACACAATTAATCCTCGATTCCCCAGAAAATATAGGAAAATATGGGAAGTGGTGGGGAAGACAGAAACCCAGAAAACATGGAAAAATATGGGGAATATGTTTATCTGTGTGTATTTATTTGTGTGTCCTGGGGCCCCTTCATGCTAGCCCCGCTCCTCCGATGGAGGCCACTCGCTCGCCCCGCCTGCTCCTGCGTGGCGGTCGGACCCCGTCCAGCAAGGTTTCCAAGTTCGCGTGTTCGCCGCCATTGAGGAGTACACCTTAGGCGATGCTTAAGAAAACTTAACTTTTCGGCCAGAGTCTCGATTATTCTTAATGTTTCAATGTAAATCCCAAGATTTGAATAGACACGTTGGGCTTTAATTCAAGTTCTGAGACCATGAATTTCTTAACCCATGATTTCTTAACCATTTCGCAGGGTGTACAGCCGCAGCAAGAGAGAGAGCATGAAGGCCAGGAAAGGGAAGATTTCCGTGGAGCTTTCCCGATGGTCGTCTCAATCTGGGCCTCTGTCGAGGGGCACCCTGGGACACTCGTGATCACAATCTTTCGCCACTGACGGTGAGGCTCATCGGGTGGTTCGGGCCCCGCCTTGACAACGATACTCCCAGGAACTCCTCCCTGCCTCTGTTGCCCCTGCTCAGGATCGCTTGCGATTCATCGCCATAGAGCCAACGGCACTCACAACAAGAAGCCACGCTTCCAGCAAAATGATGCTTCCCAGCGATCTGCTCAGGGCAGCCCACGCAGACAATAGCACACTGGTCCGACTACCCACTCGTGCCTTTCTCGCCGAGAGAAACCCCACTCGTGCTTCACCGCCCTTGCACCCACGATGCTGACTGTCGTGCAGAAACATATAGCAGCAAACGCAACCAACAGAAACTACGTCGTGAAAGGCGCAGCTATAGCAGCATAAACACCAAAGCAAGTAGCAGCAACACACAACACACAAGCAACCATAACTCTAGCTGCACAAGCAGTCGCGACAGGCCCCCGATGCGCGTTTGCGCGTGCATCCCTCGAGCCGGATCGATATGTGAGAGGGTCAGGCGCCGCGGAGGGAGCGAATCGCAGGCACCGCGCAGGGGGAGAATGGCCCGTCGTCTTCGTGCGTCTGTCACGAACGCCCACGCGAAGCGTTCCAACCACGGGGCCTGCCTTCGAGGATCGAAGGAGCTGCCTCCTCCTCGGCGGGAGGCAACGGACGGGCGGCGGAGCGTCGGCGGAAGAAAAAAACCAGGTAGGAGGAGGAGGAGGAGGAGGAGGAGGAGGAAAGAAAAAGTCCACCTCCCAAGAGATGACAACTTTTTGGGGGGTGCCGGTTTTTCGGAAGTCGCCACGTGTCGCGGCAGTGGGCTTCGCGCTCGAAGCGTGCTCCCCCCTTCCTTCCACGCGCCGCCTTCTCTTCCCGCCCCCCGCCGTGCCCAGCTCGGCCACGTACCTTCCGCGTCTGCCTTCGAGCGCGGTGAGAAATCGCTGCGGCGACCAACAAAAAATGTGTCGCGGTCGTTGGCCCCCCTCTTCAACAGGTGACGCGCATCCACGGCGAGAGCTGCAGCGGCACCTTCGCCCGCCTAGACATGGCCTACAGCGTGGCCGGGGCCAGCCCCGAAGCCGTGCTGGGGCGGCGCCTCTCTGCCCCTTGACTGACAGGACGCTCCTCCAGGGTGCTCGCTCCAGCCCGATACCCCAGACCCTAGAAGCGTCGCGACAAGCGTGGCGTTCCAGAGCGAGCCTCGCATTCGAGGCCAGCATAGGAGCAGGGGGATCTGAAGAAGTCGCTCCCGAGATCTGTTCTAGAGTCAGGGTGTCTCGAGTTGGCCAAAAATATCCCGATGGGCGTTTACGCTCGCGGCTTCTTCCTCTAAGGGGGCAGGTTCTGTCGGGCCCCATTGGGGCCACCAGACCGGGGGCGTCCCGCGACGGGGGTCGCGCGGGATGCGGGGCCTACGCTGCGCAGGAGCCGTGACGTCGGGGGTGTGGCTCGCTCCTGCTTCCTCCACGGGCCGTGTGCGGGCCGTATTTCTATCCATACTCCAGATTTCATAATAAAAGGGAGGGGGTCTGGACCCTCCAAGACAAGCCATTTCAGACCCCCCCCCCGTGGGAGAACCCTCCAAAACATCGTCCCCAGACCACCCCAGGCCCTCCAAGATAGCCTGGAAGAGAGACCCCCCCGAAAAAAAAACCTCCCTTTATTACGAAATCTGGAGTATCCATATCCAGTGCGTCTTGGACTCTCTTGGAAGGGGCGCCGCAAGGCCGAGGCGCACTGGACATGGATAAAAGTTGAGCCTTTGGGAGGCAGGTTCTTCTCCATATCCAGTGCGCCTCATGTTTCTCGGGTAGAGAGTCCGAAACTCCAAGACGCACTGGATGTGGATAAAGACGTTGCCCGCACCGTGATCTGTTCTGCCGGCCAGCTGCGTGCGATCTGCCGTGCCGTGCCTTCCGAGGGGGCGGCACTGCGCGACGCGTGCGAGCCCCGAGGGGCGGGTCGGCCAGCCTCGGCCAGCCCGGGAGGTCCGGATCCTTAGACCCCCGACGACGTCGACCTCCAGATGTCCCGATCCCCTCCCCACGGCCGGTTTTTCCCTCTGAGCCATTCTTTGACGGTCCTGGGGCCCGGCGAGGGCTCCCAGAGGCCGAGGCGAGCGAGAAACCTCCCGCCGTGATTTTTGTCATAGCTCGAAGGGGCCTGGGTCTGGTGTTCCTTCCACGTGCGCGCTTGGGGTTGCCCTGCGCTTCTGTGGCCGCTCCGCGTGGAGCCTTCCCGTTGCCGCCCGCGGAGTGGGGCCCAGAGACGTGGAGACACGCCGGAGGAGGGGAGCGTGGACGGAGGCGAGCATGTGGCGGCAGCGAGCGGCAGTCTCGCACGGGCGCCCCAGGGCGGCCCCAGGGCGGCCGCGGGCCCGTGCTCCCGGCGTGCCGCGCCGAGCTGCTCGTGACTGCTGGGCGCCCTGCGCCGTCCTGGGTCTCCGGCGAGCGGCGAGCTGTTCTTTTCGTTGTCTGCATCTTCCCAGCGATGCTCCTCGATTTCGGCCTTCGGGCCTGGGCCCCAGGGCCATCAAGCATGGATACGGGACGCAAAACTACGCGCCAGTGGTTGAACGTACGTAGGTATTTTGCTGGGATGTCTGGATCCCAGTCTACTCTGGGCGCCTTCCTACTCCAATCACCGGGTGCTTTTTCCCTGTCCTTCCTCTTCAGGGGACGGGCGGAAGCCCAGTCTACTTCCAACGCCTTCTTGCTTCACGCCTCTGCCCACCTCTTCTTACGACCGACGTGCACCCCTGGGGAAAGGGGCCCCGGAGCCTGGAGCCCTGGGGCCCGCGGATGGAACAAGCCATGGATCACTGGGACTCCCTCTGTCTCGGCATCGCTCGGACGTGTGGATTTTTTTGTCTCGGCGAGAGCCCTCGAGGACCACCCTGGACCATCGAGCAAGGAAGCACGCACGACATCGAAACAATGCCCGGGACATACACGTCCGAGCGACGACAGGCTGTTGCGCAGGGCGCCCCGCCCTGCCCTCCTCGCCGGGCCGCCCGCGGGCGCCCCGGCCTGCCGGGGGGCAGCGGCCCCCCCTCGCAAGAGCTCGGCCCTCGGCTGGGACCGCGCAGCCCCGCGAGGCCGGGGGCCGTGCGGCGGCGAGCGGGGGGGAGGAGGAGGAGGAGGAGGAGGAGGAGGAGGAGGAGGAGGAGGAGGAGGAGGAGGAGGAGGAGGAGGAGGCGGAGGAGGAGGAGGAGGGGGAGGAGGAGGAGGAGGGGGGGAAGCAAAGCGAGGCGCCCCTCTCAGAAGGCGGCGGGGCTTCTCAGGAGGCCTCCGGCCCCCTCGCAGCAGCTCGGCCCTCGGCTGGGACCGCGCAGCCCCGCGAGGCCGGGGGCCGTGCGGCGGCGAGCGGGGGGGGAAGCGAGGGCGAGGAGCCCCTCTCAGAAGGCTCGGGCCGAACGAAAGGGGAGGATAGGGAAAGGGGGGGGTACGAAATTTGCTGCATGCAGCTGGTTTCGGCCCCGCCGCCGGGCCCATTCCTCGATACATGGGCGCCTCCCAGCGCCGGGAGGCGCCGGGAAAATCAGCTCCGCGAGCTGATTCTCAAACCCCCCCTTTGCTATCCCCCCCTTTCGCCCGGCCCGAAAGGCGGCGGGGCTTCTCAGAAGCCCTCCGGCCCCCTCGCAACAGCTCGGCCTTCGGCAAGGAGCGCAGTCCCGTGAGGCAGGAACCGTGCGGCGGCGAGCGAGGGGGGAAGTGAGAAGGAGACGCCCCTCTCAGAAGACGGCGGGGCTTCTCAGAAGCCCTCCGGCCTTCTGAGAAGTGTTCTGCGTCCTCGGGGAAGGGTGAGCAAACTTGTCAGAAGTCCGGGGGGCTTTGAGTCTTCTGAGAAGGCCCGCCCCTTCTCACTTCCTCCCCGCGCTCGCCGCTGGATTGTGGCGCGACGCTGCAGGATTTGAGCTGGAGTTGTGGGGACGATTGCCATGTGGCGGAGGGCGAGTGCTAGCCAGGGGGAAGCGGGTCCTCAGGGAAACGGGTCCTGAGGTCTTCCGCCAGTTTCGGGCTCGGGGCCCTCCACGGGCCCTGGGGCTGTCAGAAAACGACAACGGATGAAGATCTCGTGCTGGGGGAAGGCCCCGGGGTCCAGGACCCGTTTCCCTCGGAACCCGCTTCCACCATATTGAACATGTTGCTTGCATGTGTGCGACACCAGACAGTTTGGGAGTGGAAGCGGACTGATCCAAACTGCTGCGGTACAAGAGTTATGTGCGGCAGGGGCGACGACCGCACATCATCCACAAGGCGACACGCTCCTGGCTTGGTTGTTGTCTTGACGCTTTAACGACCGAGGGGGGTACGCGTCCAGCCTGCACACTTCTCGATGCGTCTCGAAAGAGTCTGTGGGATTGGGCTCACCCAAGGCACTGTACACATCTCTCCGTTGCTGCAGCACTGCGGTGGCAGAGAGCCCGAACCAGCGTGCCCTCACCATTCCGTCGAGTGGCTCGAACAGAGAGAACGCAGACAGTTCTTTTGGTCACGCGGGCGCTGGTCGGAATGCCGGCTGATGTCACCACACCGGGGAAGCTGTGGTCGGGGTCCTTGGGGGGACCGCGCCGATTTCGACGAGGCCTGGGACCTGGATGGGCCCCAGGCCATGGGCGTGGCATCGCTCGGACGTGTGCAGTTTTTCTCGGCGCGGACCATCGAGGAGCATCTTGAATCCTCTTGCGAAAGAAATGCGCGCACGAAATAGAACAAGTGCACGGGGATTGGGCGTCCGAGCGATGGCCAGTATAGGGTGCCCCTCCGTTGCCCCTTGGAGCGCCGCGGGTGTCGCGTCGGAAGCTCGCCCCCGGACGCACACAGTGTGTGCAGTTTGCTGCTGCAGTGGACGGCATCATCCCACACGGGCCTCACGGGCACACCTCCCCCTCCCCACCAAGAGGCCCGAAGGGGGGAAGAGACTTGTAGAATCCCAAACTCGGATAGCAGGGGGCGACAAGGGCGTGGAAAGGCCTGTCGAAGAACTCTGGAAGGACCTGGTGAGAGCTTCCGAAGGACCTTCTGAAGAGCTTCTGGGCACGCGTATTGGGAAACGCTTAGAAGGCATGCCGGAACACGCTGCCGGATCAAGCAGGTCGCGCAGAGGTGTTTTCACGGAGACCGGAAGAACGACCTCCAGGACTACCTTGCGGCTCTGGCTTCTTAATCTGAAACCCTCTTAGCTCTCAGAGAGCTATCCGGGGACGAGTGATCGATGGTTGGCAGACATTCCTATTCATCTGAGCAGGTCTGACAGTCTTCTGGGCAGCGAGCTTTGTTTGCCCAATCGGTGCCCCTACTGATTTCGGATAGCACTTGTGGCTTGGCAGCGACTCCCCACTGGTGCTTGTCCCATCTCGGGCAGCCCGCCCTATCCCTTCGCCATTCCTCCCTCACCCCTCTTCTTTTCCTTTCCTTTAGTTTGCCGAAAAACCGCATGAACAGGAGCATTCGGCGGTCAGCGCGGAAGGCCCTGACTGCGCCCCGGCGCGCTTCGCACGCAGGGGACGAGTTGCGGCAAGGGGCGTCCAACGCCGACCCCCGAAATCCAAATCTTCGTGGACCTCGGGGTGTTCCAGAAAGGGCCTTGCACTCGAGGGTTCGAGAAGTGGACATCTCTTCCTCGGCGGAAGGCTGGCGGAAGCAGTGTAAAACGCATCCCCAATCCCCAAGGAGGTCCGGGGGGGAGTGGAACCAACGTCTCACTCGATCGGTCTCACGATCGAACTTAGTATCGATCTCACTATCGGTCTCGCTCGATCGATCTCACTCGATCGATCTCACAATCGATATCACTCGATCTATCTCACTCGATCTATCTCACGCGATCGATCTCACAATCGATATGACTATCGGTCTCACAATCGATATCACTATCGATGTCACAAGTTATCTCGCATTCGGTCTCACTATAGATATCACTATCGATATCACAATCGATCCCACAATCAACGTCATCATCACCATCATCGACATCATAGTCATGGACATCATCATCATTGGGACACCATCATCATCATCATCACCACCTCATCACCATCATCATCAGCATCAACATCACCATCATCATCATCGGGACACCATCATCGTCACTATCATCATCATCGGGGCACCCTCATTATCATCATCGTCATCATCATCTCATCATCATGAACAACATCGTGCACATCATCATGATTGGGACACCAGAATCATCATCAGCAACATCATCATCACCATCATGCTCATCGGGACACCATCATCATCCTCATCGGGCCACCACCACCATCAATATCATCACCACTTCATACCACCGACATCACCAACAGCATCCGCATCATCATCGAACACCATCTTCGGCATCATCATCATCATTTTCAACATCATCATCATCGGGACACCATCATCATCACCATCATCATCATCAACATCATTATCAACCTTATCACCATTCTCGGGGCATCAGCATCATTATCATCAGCATCATCATATCATCATCTCGTCAACATCCACATCAGCAAGAACATCATTATCATCATCATTGGGGCACCAGCAACATTGTCAGCAACATCAGCATCATCAACATCATCATCGGGGCACCATCATCATAGCCAGCATGGCCATCATCATCACCATCATCACCATCATCGGAACACCATCATCGTTACCATCAGCATCATCAACATCATCATCATCATCATTGGGACCCCATCATCATCATGATCGGAACAACACCATCATCATCATTAGGATCATGTCATCATCATCATCATCATGAGCAACATCATCAACACCATCATCACCGGGACACCACCATCATCATCAGCAACAACAACATTATCATCACCATCAGCATCATCACCATCGGAACACCATCGTCATCGTCACCATCATCATCACCATCATCATCATCGGGATACCATCATCATCATCAACATTATCATCACCATCATCTGGCCATCACCATCAAAATCATCATCATCTCCTTATCATCTTCTTCAGCATCAACATCATCATCATCATCATCATCATCGGGACACCAGCATCGTCATCATCATCAACACCATCATCATTGGGACACCATCATCATCACCATCGTCATCATTAACAGCATCATCAACTTCATCATCACCGGTACACCATCTTCATCACCATCATCATCTCACCAGATCATCATCAACATCATCAGGATCATCAACAGCATTGTCATCACCATCGGGGCACCATCATCATCAGCAGCATCAGCATCATCAACATCATCATCATCATCGGGACACCATCATCATCACCACCATGGCCATCATCATCATCATCATCATCATCATCATCATCATCATCACCAACATCGTCATAATCACCATCATCAGCATCATTGAGACACCGACGGGACACCGGCGGGACACCGGCAGGACACCGCGCGGCACCAGTTGCCGGAAGAGAGACTTTTGGTCCGGCCGCGCCTCAGCCAGAGGCGGGATATTCCTCGCCCGCCCACGCAGCTTCGCCTCGCCCGCACGCACGGCACGCACGAACACGAAACCGAAACCGATTTCCCGGCAGGGGGGCTCTCCGTTCCTCTTCGATCTCACCCCCTTTACCTCCGATATATATATATATATGTAAATATACGCATATATACATATATAGATATGTGTATATATATATATATCTGTATATCTACATATGTTGGGCGGGCTCAGGGATTACGGAGCCGGCCATATGGTTGTTCAGCTGCTCCCCACCTGGCACGCAGAGGAAAGATTTCCCGACCCGCCTCGCAAGCCTGCACACCACGGCCGCCAGGCCCAGAGCGTGCTGGTGCCCAACCTCGGGTCTTCGACGAGTGACGGCTGCACACCGCGGCCCCCAGGTCCAGGGTGTGCCGGTGCACTTCTGGAGCCCCGCCCCCGATATGTTTGTTGCTCATCGGTTCTCGTGCTGCCGTGTCTCGAGGTGGGCTGCGCCGTCGCCCCCTTTGTCGTGGTGGCGGTCCACGAGAGGGCCTGGCCGTTCCTCGCCGTCACGGACTTGGTGCTAGTGGCCGTCATTGTTCGGAAGAGGCTGCGGGGACTCGCGGGGGCGCGGAGGGAGAAGGCAACAGGAAGCTACACGGCATGAGCGTACACCTCCGAGGGTCCGCGCGGATTTCCTGGATCTGCGCTGGGCCCCCCTGGCGGCGCCTCCGGCGCCGCGCGGAGGGGAGTCAGCGCCGATACGATGTATCCGCCCAGATCTTCAAAAGCTTACTCCCCAAGCAGTGCTTGCACGTTAGGGGGTCTCACTTGCGTTCCTGAGGAATTGGATGGGCGTCCCGAGGATTCGCCACGTTCCGTCTCGTTGCCGTCCGTTGCCGCGCGTTGCCTCTTGTGGGGTTGTCCCGAGGATTCGACACGCTCTGGCCAGCTGCCTCCCGTTGCCGCCTGTGGGGGTGTCCGTAGGGTTCGCCACGTTCTGGCCCGATGCCGGCCGTTGCCGCCTGTGGGGATGTGCCGAGGATTCGGGATGTTCCGGCCCGTTGCCACCCGTTGCCGGCCGTTGCCGCTTGTAGGGGTGTTCGGAGGCCTCTAAGTTTGTCCTCTTCGAAGAGCGACCGCAGAGACGCAAGTGCATCCACATTGCCATAACGTCTTGTTTTGGGGTCCACGCCTGAAGAGACGCTCGTGCTTTATTCTATCGGGGGGGTCGGGGGGACGGAGGGGTGGATGGGAGGGGGGCGGAGGGACAGCGGTGCAGTTGACGCACAGGATAATTAGAGGAGGGAGCACTGACCGAAGGGGCCGATATCGGTAGTCTGCATCATTCCCCAAGGGTTGTTGGGACTCGAGGGAGAGGGGGAGGGTCGATGAGAAGGGGACGGAGGGAATCACGGTGCAGTTGACGCACATGAAGGAGGGTTTGGGCATCGCTAGGGCGTGTGCATTTTTCCTCGGCGAGGACCATTGAGAAGCATCTAGGATCATTGTCGAAACAGACACGCACGAAGTCGTACAATTCATAGGAAATTCTTGACGCTTCGCGTATCCCCACCAGCCCATCTCACAGCAGCAACTCTTGCGAAGCATGCCGACAGTCGTGTTTTTCAGGCGTGTGTCCGCTTGGCCCCGCATATCTCCCCTGTTCCTCCTTCCTCCCGCCTCCTTGTACATCCTCCTTGTGGGGGGAGCGGGAGAAGGACGAGGCGGAGGAGGAGGGAGAGAAAGCGCTCCTCGTGATTTGAGTCGTTTGGGGTTTCTCGTCCTGGTGTGAGTCGTTCGGGCCCTTCTTCCTGGTGTGAGTCGTTCGGGCTCTTCGTGGTGTGAGTCGTTCGGGCTCTTCGTCCTGGTGTGAGTCGTTCGGGCTTCTCGTGGTGTGAGTTGTTCGGGCCCCTCATCCTGGTGTGAGTCGTTCGGGCCCCTCCTCCTGGTGTGACTCGTTCGGGCTCCTCGTGGTGTGAGTCGTTCGGGGCCCGCGTCGTGGTGTGAGTCGTTCGGGCTCCTCGTGGTGTGAGTCGTTCGGGCGCCTCGTCCTGGTGTGAGTCGTTCGGGCCCCTCGTTGTGGTGTGAGTCGTTCGGGCTCTTCGTGGTGTGAGTCGTTCGGGCCCCTCGTCCTGGTGTGAGTCGTTCGGGCTCCTCGTGGGGCCTCTTGGGGGCCTCTTGGAGCCTCTTGGGGCCTCTTGGGGGCCTCTTGGGGGCCTCTTGGGGGCCTCTTGGGGCCTCTTGGGGCCTTGGGGGCCTCTTGGGGGCCTCTTGGGGGCCTCTTGGGGCCTCTTGGGGGCCTCTTGGGGGCCTCTTGGAGGCCTCTTGGGAGCCTCCTGGGGGCCTCTTGGGGCCATCTTGGGGCTTCTTGCGACCTCCTCAGAAGCGCAAGTGAGCGCTGCCCCCTGAGAAGGACAAAATGAGCCCAAAACCTTCGTAAAATCCATGATTTTGCTAGGAAGGAAGATGAGCGCGGCCCCCTTCAGAAGGCCAAAACGGGGCCAAAACCGTAGTAAAATCAATGATGTTGGCTTCAAAGAAGAGCAGAGGGCCAAACTCGGCCCCCCCGTCGGGGCCAGAATCCTCGTGAGGGTCGTCGTTTTTTAGCCCTCCCAGGAGTCGGAAAAGACCCCCCCGGCGACCCGCGGGACTCCCTCTCCAGGCCCAGGGGGAGGGGGTAGGGGGAGGGGTAAACCCCTCCCCGAAGGGGAAGAAGGGGGGTTGAGGACAGAGAGAGCTCTCTAAACCACTCACGCCCAAAGGGCTGGTGGGATTAACGCACATGAAGGAGGGTTTGGGCATCGCTAGGGCGTGTGCATTCTTCCTCGGCGAGGACCATTGAGAAGCATCTAGGATCATTGTCGAAACAGACACGCACGAAGTCGTACAATTCATAAGAAATTAACGTCCGAGCGATGGCAAGGGATGGCATATGGGCAGACGGGTGCGAAGTAAGAGAAGCAATCGGCATAAAGTTATGCAACATGTTAGCCGGCGTGATCCCCAAACAGTGATTTCTTGCAATGCACGCGGGCTAATCGAGGTTGTGTACTCAATGTGGTGCAGTCTGGGTGGGGCAATCCATGTGGCGCAAAGCAGTGCAGACCAATGCAGACCAATCCAAACCAATGCAGAACACTTCAAAACAATGCAGTGCAAAGCAGTGCGATTGCAATGCAGTGCGATTGCAACGCGTTGTGCCCAGACGATGGACGGTGACGGGCGGCGGCGAGGCGGCGGGCGGCGACAGGGTGGCCGCGGGGCGGCCACGTGGCGGCGACGGCGGCTACACAGCCGCCAGGCCGATACCGCCGCCCAGTTCCGCAAAAGAGAGCTCGCAAGCCCTGAGTGCGGGCTCTCTTTGGGGAATGTAACGCGCTGCGAAGTAACACAATGCAACGTAGCGGAAGGCATTGCAATCCAACGCAACGCATTGCAACGCAATGCGCAAGCAACTCCAGGCAGTGCAAAGCAACGCAAAGCCATGCAACGCAATGCAACGCCATTCAGCGCAATGCAAAGCCATGTAAATCACTGCCACGCAATTCGATGCAAAATAGAACAGTGCAACACACGGCATGGCAATGGAAACCAATGCACATCGGAGCAAAGCAGCGCAATGCAAAGCGAAGCACAGCAATGCGAAGCGATGCCAAGCAATGCAATGCAAAGCATCGCAAAGCAGTGCAAAGCAACGCAACGCAATGCGGAGCAGTGCAAAGCGGGCGGCGACGAGGCGGCGGGCGGCGGGTTGCGACGAGGCGGCGACGGCGGCCACATGGCAGCCAGAGCGGACCAGTCCCAGGCGACGGGCGGCGACGAGGCGGCGGCTGACCGCAGGGCCATCTCCGCAGAAGAGAAGTAAGAAAACCTAAATGCAAGCACCGTTTTCAATTTTAGATGAGAATGGGGAGAGCGAGAAGTGTGCAAGCAGGAGCGTTTATGACAAGAGGAGCGTCATGTAATCAGACCGGTCTTTCTTCGTGTGTCTGAGCCCCTTCTCCCATTTCACCGCGTTTCGCCCTTATCACCTTCTCTTGCCATCCACGCCCATGTTGCCCATGCTCCTGACATCAGAAACCGTCATGCGCCCATCGTTGTATGATAATCTATGCCGTGGTTGCGCCCCCTCGATTCTGTTGACCTTGCTCCACAACGTAGCATGCTTCATTATTCGATGTCGGACTGTATGTCTGTATGTAAATGTATACAAACATGTGGGCACAGACATGTACATAGAAAAAGAGAAAGAGAGAGAGAGAGAGAGAGAGAGAGAACGAGACAGAGATCCCCAAAAACGTTCACCAAACAGTGCCTGAACTTATGGGCTTCGTGTTTCTTTTCTAAGGGACAGGGCTGGTGCTGCAGCCTGGCGGTTAAGTTCTCGCCGTCGCCGCCCGGTCGCCGCCTCGTCGCCGTCCGTCGTCTGAGCTGGTGTGGCGGTCTGGCGGCTATGCTGTCGCCGTCGCAGCCCCGTCGCTGCCTCGTCGACGCCCTTCGTCTGGGCTCGTGTGGCGGTCTGTCGGCTGTGTTGTCGCCATCGCCGCCCCGTTGCCGCTGCGTCGCCGCCCGTCGTCTGGGCCAGTGTGGCGGTCTGGCGGCTATGTTGTCGCCGTCGCCGCCCCGTCCCCACCTGATCGCCGCCGTAGAGTGCACGACACAGATTTTCTTTTCTTAACAGGAAGTAGGATCTACCCGCTTAGGGATTATCGATACACCTGCGGATGTACAGTTTACATGCGATTCCGCCCCCCGGCCACGCCGTCAATCCTTGTCCATCATCCCTTGCAGAAAAATACGATACGCACGCGCACTTGTTCAGCAACGTACATACGTTTTCCAAAATGCCTTGCATCAGAATGCTTTGCGCGCGTGCCCAGACCCGACGGATTTGAAAATCGAGTGTCCCGACAGCACATAATACACATGCTGAAGCAACGTGACGCTTGAAAGAGAAGGATGCGCGCGCAATTGCGATGCCTTATGTAAGCCAGATCCTTTTTCATAGCAAAAACAGTTCTGCATCAGCTGAGACCTCCTGGGCCTCTCGCGCGCGCATGCTAGAATCGTTCGAGCGCCCTTGCGCGCGTATTGGGGGGAGGGCACAATACCTGTCAAATAATACCACGTGGGCCAGTCGCGCGCACCGGCCGCGCGCGCATGCCAAAATTTTCCACGGCCTTTATCTCCGACGCGTGGGTACCATCATCGCCTTTGGCGTGATCAGCATCGGCACCGTCACTGGCCGTGGCGCCGTCATTTCCGTCGTCGCCACCAGAGCCGCTAGTGTCATCATCATGCCTGCCGTTGTCGACATCGCCATGGTACCGCGCCCGCCCGAATCACCAACTCGAACTGAAGTGCCCGCGCGTCAGCGCGGCGAGACGCGCTGGGAAGTCCCCAGCAGACACCGCCACCGCGGCCTTGTCGGTCGCGCCAGACTAGCTGGCCGCTCTGCGCGCGAGCCTGCGCTCGCTATTGCGGCCGCAACGATGGGCAACCAGCGCCAAACAATCACCGCACTCGCCGCCGCATGGGTTTTGCAAACCAAGTTGCGGGTGGGTCTGTGGGATGATTGCGTTCGCCATGCGATCGGCAACTCGATG